AGGCTTTTGCTCAATTGCTACAGCAGTACAGGCCTTCTTTATTGAGAAAAATATCTTTATTTTCTCATTGTATGAAGAACAATATTTGGTTTTGAATTCCCTAGGTATGATACATTCATAATAATGCATGTATAATAGTAATAAATACTGGGTATGATCAGCTCACAGGATATGCTATAGAATTTCTGAAAATCTGCTGCATTCTTAGGGGGTACACAATATCTTTTGTGGTATATTAGGATGGAAATTCAGAGCCCAAGATTCAAAAATTAACCTTGAAACAAAATAATGATGCCATGAACAATATAAATTGTAACAAATTAAAGAATTAAAGGTAACCAAGGCAGTGTGCAACAAGCAACGTTCTTGCTCAACAATAACCTATTTAATAAAGCTGAGAGTTATTAAATTACATTTATATAACAAATAATTAAACGTACTTATACCTTAAGAAGAAATCGGAACATTTTGAAGGAAATAGAAGCCATTTGAGACAAAATATTTGATCGATGACTCGACGAGTGTTGACATGTGTACAAGCCGGTGTTTCAATCATCTCAAATTACTTGTAAAACGGAAATCACACGTGCACTCAGTATCCTTGTTGTTAACACAAACTGCGCCGAACATATTCTAATGCTTTTGACGGGAAAAATTGCGATTTTATTGATATTTTCAGCAAAAAGTTAGCTCTCCACTCCTCTTGAAAATACTATGACGCGCGCGAATTCCCGGAGAATGGGTACGAAATAGTTAATTGGAAAATACTGTACTTTTACCGTATTTTCTAATTAACTCAACTCGTGTGGCCAGAGCCACTCAACGATGGCTCTGGGTACGAGATTGACCAAGAATCCGAAAACCAACATCTATTAAATCGATTTTCTATCTGGTGCCAATGGTCCGATATGATTATCCGAGTTGACAAATGCAGTACCTTTGGCATTAAAAAAGCGATCACAAAATCAGTTCAGTACTTGCCAAAACTCCTCATCAGCAATCAACTAATACCAAAAATCACCATTGGAGAATCATTTCAATATTTAGGACGTTACTTTGATTTCCACATGTCGAATGATAATCACAAAACTGAACTAACCACCCTACTTAATGAACTAATGTCTGATATTGGCTCAAAGCCACTACACCCCAAAAATAAACTGCTCTTCTGCAGTCGCTACGTCTTGTCCAAGTTAGCCTGGCACTTCACCGTCGCAACACTCTCTAAAACATGGGTTACTGAAAATATCGACTCTATTGCCAACAAATATATCCGCAGATGGCTTGAAGTACCAATATCAGGAACACTAAGTACTGTCTTTCTAGCAAATAACAAATTTGGCCTGAGTATTTATCCTCCATCTGTAAAATTTATCCAGTGTCAAACAGTCCTCCGAAAAGCTTTAAAATCTTCTCCTAATGAATCAACTAACGACCTGTGGAGAGCAACCAGTAACCATACTAATATCCAATATGACGCTTATAACTCTACTAAGGAAGTTCTCAAAGATTTCCGTTTTGGACACGAAAACAAACTCCTAAACCAATTAACCAGTCAAGGATCCTTTTTCTGCAGCGTCACGAAGTTCGCCTTACCTCAGCTTAGCAAGGTGTGGTCCGTCGCCCAATCAAAGCTCCCGAAAAACATTTACAACTTTACCATTCGTTACATTAACAACTCTCTTCCGACGCGCAAAAACCTAAACAGATGGACAATATCTTCAAATTCAGACTTTTCTTTTTGTCTTAGCCCTGAAACATTACTACACACAGTAGCTGGATGTCAGTTTTATCTCGACCGATTTACGTGGAGACACAATTCAGTCCTGAACTTTCTTGCTCATCAGTTACAAACTGTTGACGGTTCTACTCTCTACGCTGATCTAAATGGATTCAAAAGCCCTTCAATACTTACTGGTGATACGTATCGCCCAGATTTGTTATTATCGTGCTCAAATGGTTCCTCATATGTGGTTGAACTCACCACTGGTTATGAGACAAACCTTAAAAGCAACGTAAAACGGAAGAAGGATAAATATAGAGAATTATTGAGACAGCTAGGTAAAAATTTTAACCAAGTTAAATTTATAAATCTCTCCATCAGCTCTTTAGGTATATTTGCAGAAGAATGTTATACATTTTTAGACATGTTAGATAGTATTGGTCTTGACAAAAACCACCAAATGTACTGCGTTAGGAAAATGATGACTATTGCTATTAGAACTACATATTACATTTTTTGTTGCCGAAATAAGGAATGGGAAAATCCGGATTTACTAACAATTTGACTTATCTCATTGTATATATATATATATTGCATGCACTTTGTTCTGTTATTTTAGTTTAGTATAATTGTGATTCAAATAGCCAACCGTTAGTTACCTTTATGAGAGAGATTTACGATTGTATATGTATGTAAAGAAAAACATTTAATAAAGTTTCCATTATTATTATTATTATTATTATTATTATTATTATTATTATTATTATTATATTTTTATTATGTAGAGTGTTAATTCAAGTAGACACTGGTAAACTACCTGTAAAGAGAGGTTTATCATTGTAGTGTGTATATATATTATTGAAAGTAATAAAGTTTCCATTATATTTAAATGACACTACTTTATGTGTGTTCACGATGCTTTAGAGATAAAAAATCTCCAAAAAAATTTTCCTGCGAAAATTCAATGATACCTTCATGTGTTCCGCATGAATTGCCGAATTTAACTCAGATTGAAGAAATGTTAATTGCTCGTGCTTTGCCTATCATGAGAGTTTATATTAAACCTGCATGGTGGTCAACGAGATTATTCAGGACATTGTATTAACCTGCCATAAAATGTCAAAGAACTTGCAATGTCTTTGCCAAGATATCCTAAAGACTTGGCTGTGATTATTGTCAAGGCTAAAGGTAGAGAAAACATGTTCAGAGATGTGACAGTGCGAAAGCAAAAAGTGCACAATGCTTTAGTTTGGCTTATAAATAACAATCCACATTATTCTGAGTTGTTAATTAAATAAGGATGCATTAAATTCCTTACCTGAAAATGGTGTACCACCAGGTCTTAAGACTGTTGAGACTGATGATGATATAGTCTCAATGATGTAGGTCCTCCTACTGATAATCCATCAGAGGTTATTATAGTTTACAGAACCCAGGTGAAACTCATCTCACAATTGAAGAACTACGTGAAATGGCTGCCATTAACAATGCTAATGTATTTATGTCTAAAATGTCGAGATATGTTGGCAATATTGCAGGTACTAATACTTAATGGAATATAGTAAGGGAGGAAGTCAAAGCTATTATAACTAGTGTTGTAGCACGAACATTAATTTTTCACTTTCTCCTCTGCAGATATGCATTGGCCTGAGTTACATGCTTTATTTAAAGCTGATACCGACAATGAGTTAGGTGATTCTACCAGCGATGTAAGACAACAAAATGTGATCAACAATCCCCATGTTGTAGATTGGTTTTTCACAGAAAAATGAGAAAGCTTTGTAAAACACTGGCTTTACGATACACTTGGTGCAAAATGGCACTGCATGGTTTCGATATGAATATCAAGGTAGAGGTTGTCTCTATTGTCATTATTATTATTATTATTATTGTACGTCTTTATTAAAAATTGAAGTTGCAACAAACGTGCATCTTTACAGTGCATATAAGATATATATAAATATATATATATATATATATAGTAATTATTAAAACGTTCAGTGCATATGAGAAATGGTAATTAGATTATTTACAAATTTAATAAATTAGTATTATTTCTAAATTAAATTATTTACATGCATTATAGTTAATATTATATATCATATATAACAAAATTTTAAAACTAAAAGTCATTAAAAAGACACTTGTTCAAAAATGATTGTTTAAAACGTTCTGTGTAAACTTGTGGTAACATAAATTGATGATCGCGTTCTCTTAAAGGTCGTCGACGTTCTTCCGGTAACAACTCATATAGGCAATGTTCAGGATCGTGCATGACCTTATTGAACAATAATCGATCCCTCTCCTCAATCATCTTGGCCATGGAATATTTATTCTGAGTGTATCCATATCGAAATGCACGATTGAGAAACTTGTTGAATTTATCAATGTATTTCGCTTGCAAAGCCGATCCCCATACTTCAATTGCATAGTAAAATAACGACAGGATCAATGAATCGAACAATTTAGTAAGTTCATTTAGTGAATATCCGTACAATTTACAAACTCTCAGGATGTAAATTCGAATTCCTGCCTTTGAGAACAAGCTTTCTACCTGCTATTAGTTTTAACCATTTTTTACGTCGTATTCCATTAATAAGGGGGGGGGGGG